TTTGTTTTTGGTAACATTTTAAGGATGAAGACCTAGCAGTGGGACCATTGTGTCAAATGATATGAACAGTTTTGTACCACTAGCTAAAATTGCTATGTTACTTTTTCTTTTTTTTTAGGCAATTGGGGTTAAGTGACTTGCCCAGGGTCACACAGCTAGTAAGTGTCAAGTGTTTGGTCTGAGGCTGGATTTGAACTCAGATACTCCTGACTTCAGGGCCGGTGCTCTGTCCTCTGCCACCTAGCTGCCCCTGCTATGTTACTTTTAAGAAAAATGGCAGCAGTAACAAATACCAATTTCAACATGACTGCCAAAATTTATCATTTTAAAGAATCTTTACTAATCTAATGGCTATTTATTGATACTTCTTAATGTTTTCCTTTTAATTTCTTTGATTATCAGAGTTTAAATACTGTTTCAGGCAATTAAGAATTTCTTTTGTCAAAAATACCTGTATGTCTTACTCTTAAGAATTTCAATCAATTTCTTACAAAGTAGATATGTTGGATTTTTAGAGGAAATTTATGGCAACAATTGTCACATTTTTCCCCTCATATTTCTTCTTTCTTCTGTTTAGTTCATGTATCTATGTCTCCTCCTTCCTCTAAATTTATTTTTCCATTTCTTTCTGTTCAGTCTTTTCCCTTCCTATTTTCACCTCAGAGGGTAAGGATATATTTGCAAGTTCTCAAAGTCATGTTTTTTTCTGAATAATCTTATCCCATTCAAATGTCAGCCAATGAAAGTAGGATAAGGGTTCATTTAACACCCCCCCCCCGGTAATTTTCTCCCAAATGAATTCATTTACATAGGTTACCTTTGAGTCATCAAACTTTCACATAAAATAAATTGATCCTTAGTGACTAGTGAAACTAGTCTTCTCAAGTGAGAAGGCAAAGAGAACACCTCTAAAACCTTTCAACAACTAAGAACCTTGGGAAAGGGTTTTAAAAAAAAGGCCAGTTTAATCAGCTCTTTATTCTTCCTTTCAGAGAGCAGAGAATTTATTGGAGATAAACCTCCTGAATGTAATGAACGTGGGAAGGCCTTCAGGAGTAACTCACAACGTACAATGCATCAGAGAATTCGTATTGGAGATTATTTTTTATCAATTGAAGGAGTGTGAGAAAGCTTCTCTCTACAACTCAGAATTTGTTCATCATAAAAGAATTCATAAAGGACAGAAATCTTACGAATGTTGTGAATGTGGGAAGGCCTTCAAGATTAAGACACAATTTACTCTGCATCAGAAAATATTGGAGACATTTTTTTGAATGTAAGGAGTGTGGGAAGGCTTTCCCATATAACTCAAGACTTATTTGACACCAAGGAATTCACACTGGAGAGAAACCGTATCAATGTACTGTATGTGGTAAGAACTTCATGAGTAAGTCACAGCTTACTGTGTATCAGAGAATTCATACTGGAGAGAAAACTTAGGAATGTAGTCAGTGTCAGAAGGCTTTCAAGACAAAGACACATCTTACTGTATGTCAGAAAATTCATATCGGAGACATTCTTTATAAATGTAAGGAGTGTGCAAAGGCCATCCCTGACAACTCAGATCTTACTTGACATCAAAGTGTTCGTATTGGAAAGAAACCTTATGAATGTAATAAATGTGGGAAGATCTTGGAGACAGGATACCACTTACTCATCACTAAAGAATTCATTCAGGAAAGAAACTTTAAGAATGTAATGCATGTAGGAAGTCCTTTGGACTGAGGACACTACTTTATGTCCATCAGAGAATTCACACTAGAGTGATTCTTCGTGAATGTAAGAAATGTGGGAAGATTCCCCCAGCTAACTAGACTGTGATTCTGAGTCCCTAGATGCAATTCAGAGAGTCCTTATTTAGGCTTCATGGGAAAAGAGAACTCTGACCTCTGCAGAGACCTCTAAAGGGGCAAAGATTTAGTGTTATCCTCCCATGGACCTTCAGGGAGCGAAAGGTTATGCTGGTTGAACAGAGGTTACTGCTAGTAATATTGGGACAGCCTTAGTATGAACTTTGATCCTGGGTAATGCCGGGCATATGACATGCTAGAAGCTTCAGGATGACCTCTTGGCCAAGGAGATGAGCCTGAGCCTAATGAGTGATGAATAATTATTGATGGTACTTGAGGAATATATCATAATCTGAGCTGTGTTCCTGATGTTGCTGGTGCTGCTTCTGCTCGTAGTCATTTCGGTAGCCACTGTGGACCATAAAGGCTTGGAATTATAACTAATAATTGATACAAATACAGGGAAGTCAATTCAACCTTGAAATGTACAACCAGTTCTTATATTCCTAAAATGACATATAATGCTAGCTAATGTTCATGAAGCCCTTTCTAATTCATGTTATACAGGATGCCCCAGAAGTCTTTGTGCCTCTAAGGGCTTTGAAAACTTGAATTGTATTATGTTTAATCTTCCTCAAACAGTAAAATCTGATGATTATGAAAACAGGAGACATCCTCCAAAGGATTTATATTATAATTAATATCAAATGATCATTTCTGCTTGGTCCACACTATCCAAGCCCAGGTCTTACACGAAGTGTGGAGATACTGAAAGTTTTCTAGATCAATCTTATCACATAGATTGAAGACACAAAGGACACGGTCCTTAGTGCTCTCCAGTAGTGTCAGAGAGAGCAAGTCACTATATTGGCGGCTCGACTGTAGGAATAGCCCTGAAACCTGCCTGTGTGCAGGGGCAGGGACCACCACTGCCATGCTCCTCCTCTGCCCAGACACCGCACATGGACTGAGGCAAGTGTTCCGGTGCTAGGCAGGCAGTGGACAAAGAACTCTGGTTAACAGACTGTCCTCTTTAAGTTTTTGTGACAGTACTCTCTCCTAGTTCTCCTGGCTATGTGACTGGTAAATAAATCCATTTGCTGGGATATTCGTCAATGGAACACCTGCTATATTTTGGTCCCCTTCTCCCCCTATACTATTTCACTTGGTGATTTCATCATGTCCTGTGCATTCAATTATGGTCTGTATCATGTGATTCTCAAAATACTTATCCAGCCATAGCCTCTTTGCTTATCCTCCAGGCTCACATCTCTTATGGCCTACTAGACGTTGAATGTCCCCTAGACACTTTGACCTCAACAATTCTAAAACTGAAATCACAATCTCCCCTTTCTCTAGACTCTCACCTCTTTCTGACTTCTTGATTACTGTCCAGGGGACCTGCAGGGGATCACCCAGATTTAAACCTAAATGTTTCATCCTTGACTCTTTGCTCTTTCCCATCCCCTATATCCCATCTGTTGTGACAGCTTGTTGATTTTACTTTCATACCATCTGTCATATATTTCTCTTTCTCTCTGATGACATTGGCACCAACCTGGGGCAAACCATCATTACCTCATTACTGAATGATGACAGTAGATTGTTGATCTTGTGGGTGAAACTGTCATTGCTGGAACAAACCAGAACCAAACCGAAACCCAAACCCCAAGCTCCCAAATTTTAAGAAAAATAAGGGTTTAGTGAGTGCACCAGCAAGAGAGCCCCACCTGGTTGGCCAGAGACTCCTTGAAAGAATGAAAGGACAAAGTTTACATAGGCTTCAATTTAAGTGTAAGGTGAATTGGGTATATGGCACCTTAGGATTGGGCAAAGCTGTTGCTGCAGGCTTGGTCAGAAATAGGGCAGGTGGTATCTTGATTTGACAGGTCTGTTGCTTGGCTAGTAACAAGAAAGGTCTTCTTCAGGTTAGCTATCTTTTGTAACCTGCCCTAACAGTAAGGACTGTCCTGCTATTGCAGTAGTCAAGAAGGTCACAGACAGGGTAGGTGGGGGAGAGATAGAAGAACTGCAGACAAAATGGAGTTGCTTTAGCTTTCTCAGCTAATCTCCCTGACATAAGTCTCTCTCTACTCCATTCCATCTTTCACTCAACGGCCAAAGAGATCTTTCTAAACTGCTGGTCTGATACTGTCAGTCTCCCATTCAGTAAACTACAGTGGCTTCCTATCACATCCAGGATCAAATATAAAGTCCTCTGTTTGATGTTCAAAGCCCTTTATAACCTACCACTACAAACACCACTACTACCACCACCAAAACAATCTCACTCTCACACACACACACACACACACACACACACACACACACACACACATCCAGTCTTTTTACACCTTACTCACCCATACTCTCTAATTCAGTGACATTAGCCTCTTTGCTCTTTCAGGAAGGAGACACTTCATCTCTCAACTCTTGTCATTTCCCATGGCTGTCCCTCCTATCTCTGCCTCCTGGCTTCCTTCAAGTATCCACCTAAATCCCACCTTTTATAAAAAGTGTTTCCTATTTCCCTCTTACTGCTAGTGCCTTCCCCCTTTTAATAATCTCCAGTTTGCTGGATATGGCTGTTGTGGACATAATTATTTGCACTGTATCTCTTGTATTTGACTGTGAGCTCTTTGACAGCAGTCACAGTCCTTTGCCTTTTTTTGTATCTTCAGTATTTAGAACAGTGCCTGGCATATCAAAGGTGCTTATTGGTTTACTGATAATATTACAGTTCATCATAGTTTTTGCTTTCTCCCACTGAAGGATCAGGGATTTTAAAGGTCAACGAGAAGGATCCTTCAGGGGCTCTCCTGAGGACCCCACATGCACCGGAGATAATAGTAAGCTGGAGTGGTTATAAAAGACAAAGTCACTGAGCTTCCTGTGCAAATTAGACTGTCTGGGGAATAAGATGTCAGTGTGTCAGCAGAGATGGCCCATGTGTGGACATTCCTTTATAGTAGCTCTGTCTCCAGAAGATATGATCAAGGAGGCTGAAATCTGGGTTCTACTATGACCATGTTGGCATCTTCATTTAGAGACTTTTTTAACCATGTAACCAGATTAAACCCATTGAATTACTCACACAAACAGCTGCCATGGCATTATTCACCTTTGAGTGTCATAGCCTCTATTTCATATGGATATTTCAGTGTTGCCAATGTATAAGATAACAGACTTAAGACTTTATGAACCTTAAAATGATATATGAAAGCTGATGATATTTATTATCATTGTTTAAAATAATAATGGAAGTATGCTTATTTTCCCATGGCCCCTCTGCATGTGCCACTTCCCACCTGGGAGGCAGAGTAGCAGGAGGCCCAGGAATTGAGCCAGTGACACCATCTGCATGCTATGCTCTGTCCAGTGCTGATCTCAGGGGTGGGGAGTCATAGGTTCCACTGAATAAGGGCTCTTCAGGGATTGGAGGGAGGGGACATGCAAAGCAGATGGCCTGTGAGAGAAAGTTCAGGGGCTTCCAGCTTGAGAGCCAATATACTTCAGGGCTTAGGACATGAGCAGTTTCTCCTTAGGTGTCCCCTGTCAGATCAGGGAGGAACACTCAGCTTCAGTGACACATCTCCCTCTCATGCAGGTAGGTGGTATTGCAACACATTTTCTTGGTTTCTTTTCAAAGAAAAGAAACAAAATAATCTACATTGTTAAATTACTAAAATAATTCATCATTACAGCATGATAGAATGATGTTTGGAGATAGGAGGCACCTTATAGAACCTCTGCTCCAACCTGCTCAGTCTATTAATAAGGAAAGTAAAGCCTTGCAATGCAAAAGTGGTTTAAATAAAGTCATGCTCATAGCTAGTTCTAACCTTCAAAACAAAGACTAGGAAGCATATGTTTGCATAGCACTTTAAACATGTTCTTCTTTGAGCTTTACAATAACACTTTGATGCAAGCAGAATGGGTGTGTTCACCCCCATTTTAGAGAAACGGAAAGTGCTGTAGAGAGATTGTAAATAATTGGGCCCAGATGACTTGGTTATTAGCTAGAACATCTGAGACTCCTAATCTAGGTGATGATGATAGCTAGCATTTATATCAGGCTAGAAAGTGTATAAAAAGTAGGGTTTTTTTTACAAATATCATCTCATTTTATCCTCACAACAACCCTGGGAGGTAGATGTTATTGCTACCCTCATTTCTGTAGATGACAAATCTGATTCTTAAAAAGTGAAGTGATTTGCCCAGGGTAATACAGCTAATAAGTATCTGAGGCTCTTCAAACATTATCTCTTTTGATGTTCACAACCCTGGTAGATAAGTACTGTTATTATTCCCATTTTATAGATAAGGAAATTGAGGTGGAAAGAGGTTAAGTGACTTACCCAGGGTCACACAGCTTTGTGTCTGAAACAACATTTGAACTCAGAGTCTTTCAATACCAAGGCTCTCTATCCAGTGTACCATCTAGCTGCTCATACAAGGATGTTGTAATAAATCAGACAAGAAGGGTCTGAGACAGAGGAACTTTGGTGTGAACAAAGAGAAGGGAACATACATGGAGAACTTTGGGGAGTTGGAATCAACAAAAATTTGCACTTGATCCAGTATGGGCATGGGGTTTTTTTCACCAGTGAAGAGTGAAGTAACATTCCGAGGAGGGGGAAAAGAAAAATCAGAAGAGCACAGAAAACGAAATCTCAATTGAAAGAACTCATAGATTGCCTCCAGAAAAACAAATTTGGCCCAGATAACTTGGTTATTAGCTGGAACATCTGAGACTCCTAATCTAGGTGATGATGATAGCTAGCATTTATATCAGGCTAGAAAGTGTATAAAAAGTGGGTTTTTTTTTACAAATATCATCTCATTTTATCCTCACAACAACCCTGGAACAACCCCAACAACAACAACAAAAACCAACGCTGCAAATTCCTAGTCAAGTAGTGGTTAAATTTAACAATTCAATTCAGAAACAAATTCTGCAAGTCATCAAAAGAAAGACTTTCAAATACAAAAGGAAATTCAAATAACACAAGACTATTCTGCACTCACCTGAAAATGTAGGAGGCAATGGAATAATATGTTCCAAAGAGCAATAGTGCTCAGATGCAACCCAGGATGACCTACCCTGAAAATCTGAACTTGATTATAAATAAAAGAAGATAGATAAAGAGGTCTTTCAAATATTTTTAAAAAGAAAACCAAAACTGAAGAGATTATTTGCTTCTCTAACACCTCAGACAATAAAAATGCAGGAGACATGAATAAATGCATCAGTCTACAGCAGCAACCTGAAAAGACTGACAGCAAAGACATTAGCAAGAGACTTCTTTCTAAATGTACATGAGACAAAGATGAAGACAGAACTCTGATGGTGGTCAGAGTAAAGAGGTGGAAGGAGGGGGGCATTATGGACAAGATCTGGTGACACCTTGCCTAAAGGTGAATCAAGTGTTTTTGTGGGATTACAATACAACATGAGAGGGTATGTGAAAGGAGCAGAACAGGGGAACAGGGTAATAGAGAGAATTTGTGATTTGCCCATGTTATACCGAAAAATTAGCGAGTTGACCCAGACTAATTTAAATTGTGGACTTTATTATATTAGCGAGCGGCTGCCAGGGACATTCACATCCAAATCAAGCAGCCCCCATCAGGGGTTGAGCTAGGGTTTATATAGGGAGTATACAGGACAGGGAGGGGGATGGATCTTTGAAGTCTGGCAAGAGGAACAGGTTTTTTTTTGGGGCTGGTCAAGGACACCCCTCTCCCTCTGTCTAGATATGATAATGCTCTGCAAATTTTCTCACAATGGAGGCTTCCAGAGATATGATCTGAGGGCTGTGGTCTGAGCAGCCAGATAAGGGTCTTGCTAAGGAATTTGGAGGTTTCCACAGATATGATCTGAGGGCTGGAGCCTGAGCTATGCAAGAGTACATTTCACTATTGTTTAGATTTAGGAGGAAAGAGGTCTGGGGCAAGAGTAAGCAGCAACTTCTGTTTTCCATGGCCTAAAGGGTTCTACTACCTAAATGGTAAAATAATGTTCTGCATTACACCCAGATCAAAAAATGGCTAGCAATGAGGGGAAATAAAGAGACCAAAGAGGAACTGGTAAGGGGGAGGCGGGAAAGGAATGAAAAGGGGAAGAAAGGAAGGAGGCTTTGTTTTGGTGGTGGAAGGGGGCTCTATTGATGAATGGCCTGTAGATGAAGAGACTCTGTGAAGGGAAATGGGGTGTGGTCTGGGGAATTTCATGCTTAAAAGTCCATTTGTCCTACCCTGGGAGGGGGTGGGGAGGCAGTTGGAACTCCCAGCAACAAGGAGGGAGGTCATGGACCCAGCAAGAAGATTTAAAGACAAATGGGAGGAAAAGAGATAATGGGGGATGGTATGGATGAGCAATGGGTTGAATAATCATGAATACATTGGGTGGGGGAGCTATCATGGGGAAGTGTCTGCTCTGACAACTGTAAGATGTGGCATTATTCTGGGAGTCAGGTAAAATGAAAAAGGAGAATCCACAGAGCAAGTTCTACACGTCAGTGGCATAAATTGCCTAGAGGAGAGAGCCTAAAATGGATACTTGGGAAGTGTTGCTAACTTGAGGAATACAGAGACTAGAGAGAAACTAGATAATTATAGGAGCATGAACCTCTAGAGTATGAAGGTCTGAAGTAGACAGAGAGGATAGATAATGAAGAGAGTGAGAGTGAATGTTTTTGTTTTTGTTTTTCTGGAGGCAATCTATGAGTTCTTTCAATTGAGATTTCTTTTTCTGTGTTCAAAAGTTTTGGGTAGTTTTCTTGTGTTGTTTCCGGCATTACAGTATTCAGGTGGTTTTTTTGTTTTGTTTTTGTCTTGCCATGTTCTTCTGGGAGATCTATGATCCTTAAGTTGTCTCTAGGCATCCTGACTTTAAGATCTATATGTTTTACTTACATAGTGAGCATATTTTCTTTTAATGTTCTTGTTTTTTAATTCCCTTCTTCCAGATTGTCCTTTACTTCTATGTATTTGCATTTCTGATATATTGTTCTCTCTTTTATTTCTTTGTTGAGGTTTACCATTGTAAATTTTAGGGGTTTTTTCTATTCTGTCCATTATTTTTGCTGTGTGGGCCATAAATTCTGCTTTCATAATTCTCTTTTAAATCATTCAGAAATAGCATGTTGTGGTTCCCTGTTCTCCTCTCATCCCACAGTGTTCCCTGTCTCATCAAGTGTTGGGTGATTTCCCTTTATTTTGCAGTGTTTATTCATAGATGCCTGAATTTGTTTATTAGATCTGGGGGCCATAATTCTTTCTGTTGTTACTGTTTTCCTTGTTGATTTATCTGCTTATGTTCAAGGTCTTTGAATTTTCTTCTTCCTCAGATCTTTGACAATTTCAGTCTTCACCTTCCTCACCTTATTTTCTACTGTTGTACACTTTCTGACTATCTCTCCTGTGATGGTGGTTTCCTTGGGGGCTAGTTCTCAAAGTGACTAAGCCTCCTTTCATGCTGGGCAACTCATGGCTCATCAACTCAAATATCTTAAGTAACTTTTGGGTGCTCACAATTAGCCTCATCTGGATGCTGAGGTTTAGTGGACTGCTGAACTTACACCACCCTCTCCCCAACACACACATGTTGTCTTCTCCTGCTCCCTCTGTTCCTTGGTTCTTTGGGCCAGCACCAATAGTTCACAGAACTGCTACATGGTTGTCATGGCACTGTCTGCCATGGTGCCGATAATTCAGAGCTTGCAGTGCTGATGCTTTGGAGTTGCCTGCTGAATCGTTGGCTGTGTGTCATGTTGGCCAGTCTGAGGTAGTATGAGGTATTACCTCAAAGTTGTTTACATCTGCATTTCTCTAATAGATTAAGTAATTTAGAGCACTTTTTCATTATTATTGATAGCTTTGATTTCTTCATTGAAAACTCCGTTTATATTCCCTAACCACAATGGGAATCTTATTTATCTTTTCATGTGTGTCACTAACTGGATGACAAGGCATTTGGCTACCATAAGAAAGGTCATAGTCAATCCTGCTGTTTACCTGCATTTGAATGAATTTCTTCCCTTTGACGTTCAGAGCACTGGGCACAAATCACATTGCGTCAAAATCTGCCACGGGCCCTTGAGATGCTTTGTTTTCATTAAGATGATTCCAAGTCTTTATGGTACACACTTGCTACCCAAATTAACATGAGCAGAAGCAGCACCAGCAAAATCAGGAACAAAGCTCATAATGATTTATCAGATCATGCTTTATTCCTCAAGCACTGTCAACAATTATTCATCACTCATTAGGCTCAGGCTCACCTGATGGCCAAGAGGTCATCCCCAAGCATCTTGCATACCATATTCCCAGGGATCAAAATTAGTACTAAAGGCTCTCCCAATACCACTATCCACTCAGTAACCTCTGACTCAGCCAGCATAACCTCTCCCTCCCTGAAGGCCCATGGGAGGATAATACTAAATCTTTGCACCTTTAGAGGTCTCTGCAGAGTGGAGGAATATCTTCTTCTCCCATGCAGCCTAAGTAAACATTCTCTGAACTACATCTAGGGACACAGAATCACAGTCTAGTCAGCTGAGGGAATCTTCCCACACTCCTTATATTCATGAAGAATCACTCTAGTATGAAGTCTCTGATGGACATCAAATAGGTCCTTTGTCTAAAGGCTTTCCCAAATTTAAAAGGTTTCCCTCCAGAATTAATTCTTTGATGTTGAGCAAGTTGTGTTTTCAGGCTCACATTCACTGCATTCATAACATCTTTCTTCAGTATGAATGCTCTGAAGTTGAGTAAGATCTACACTCAAGTGCAAAGCCTTTCCATGTACATTACATTCAGAAGGTATGATTTGAAGTTGAGGAAGATCTGACTTGTGAGAGAAGGGCTTCCTACACTACTCATATTCATAGAGAATTTCTCCAATATGAATTCTCTGATGCACAGTAAGGTATAGCTTCTTTCTGAAAGTCTTCTCACATTCAGTACATACATAAGTTTTTTTTTTCCAGCATCAATTTTTGATGTTTAATAACATCTAAGTTGCAATGGAAGGCCTTTCCACACTCCTTACATTCATGAGGAATCTTATAAATTCTCTGATGGACATAAAGTAGTGTCCTCAGTTTAAACTGAGCTTAAACTGTTGAAACCTGCCTTTTCCCCCTTCCCCAGATATTTAGTTGCTCAGAGGGTTTAGAGGTGTTCTCTTGAGAAGGCTATTCTTCCTAGTCTTTCACTCAGGATCAATTTAGCTTATATAAAAATATGATGACTCAAAGGTCACACATGTAAATGAATTGACTTAGGATGAAATTACCTGGAAGGATGAATGAACCCTTACACAACTTTAACTGGCTGACATTTAAACAGAATAAGAGTATTCAGAGAAAAACTGATGACTCTGAGAAGTTGCAAATGTATCCTTTCCCTCTGAGGTGAAAACAGGAAGGGAAAAAACTGAACTAAAAGAAAATAGACAATTGACTTTAGAGGGAGGAAGAAATAGATACATGAAGTAAATGGAATAAAGAAATGAGGGTAAAAATGTGACAATTGTTGCCATAAATTTCCTCTAAAAATCCAACATATCTACTTTGTAAAGAATTAATTGAAATTTGTAATAGTAAGACACAGTTGTTTTTGGCAAGAGCAATTATTAATAATTACCTGAAATATTACTCAAACTCTGGTAATGAAAGAAGAAAAAATGAAAACAATTTGGAGGTAGCAATAAATAGTCTTCAGATTAGCAAATGTACTTTAAAATGACCAATTTTGGCAATTACATTGAAATAGATATTTATTAAGCTGCTGCTGCCGCCATTTTCCTGAAACGTAACAAAGGAATTCGAGCTAGAACTACAAAACTGTTCATATCCTTTGACCCAGTGGTCCCAGAACTAAATCTACATCTTCAACATGTTACTGAAAGCAAACAAAGCACTCTCAGTAAAATTGTCACAACTTTTTAGGAAACAGCAAAAGAATAAAATAGGTCCAATGATGGGGTTATGGCTAAACAAGTCCTGTCATATGAACATATTAATGTGCTTTTATAAACATAATTTCAAAGAAAAAAAGTGGATGAAACCTAACACGATACACTGAAGAAGGGGGAATTCGGTTAGGATTAAATACTTTAAAAAGTAGTAGCAAAGCAATATAATCATAAAAACAAAACAGAATATCAGAAGAGAACTAAGCAAAAAGAGCATATTACTTAATATCTTAAGTAGTGTGCTTATTTTAAAAGGGTGAATAGTGGTGCAGTGGATAGAATGCTGGCCTTGGAGTCAGGAACACCTGAATTCAAATGTGGCCTCAGACACTTGACACTTATTCACTGTGTGACCCTGGGCAAGTCACTTGATGCCGACTGCCTTACCAAAAAAGAAAAAAAAGAATAAAGGACAAAAAGGAGAATGAATTCATGAAAGCAAGGCAGGAGCATGTCTAAGTTAAAATAATCTTCAATGAGCAGAAGAGAAATAACTGCCCTGTATTGAGTCAACAACTCTCTTTGAGAGTGGAGATACATTTCAGTAAAGAGATACATTAAAAAACGTAACCTCTTGAGGTAAAAAATGAAATCTCAGCTTCTCTCAACAGGCCTGAGAAGCTATGATAGAACACTGTTCAACATTTTACGAGAGCTTTCACCTAAAATGACCACCAGAACACTATTCTGCAATGAGCCATCTGCTTGGTTTTATGTAGTCACCTGGACAGCCGCTTCTTGGAATATGTGGCTCTGGCATCCAAGACGCTTCCTTTCTTTCCAACTTGTAGATCACATCTGGTGTGGAAACTGCAAATCCTGTTCATTGAAAATGAAAAAGTTCTAGTGAGTCATCTCAGAGTTCCATTATAGAACAGATAGATGAAATACTCCTTCCATCTTATGATACCAATGGTACTATATTAGCTGATTTTATCTGAGAATTTTTTTTTAACCATGGGCATCTCAATGGGTTGGTTGGAGGGAGTAGGTTTTTTTTTCTTTTTTTGGAGAAATTATATTTTTTAAAAAAGCATTCATAAAACTTAATAAAAGAATTCAAAACAAGTTCAAACCCTATTTGGTAAAAAAGTAGACATGCCAGGAAGACCTCAAGGACAGTAAAAAGTACCACTGAAGGATATTCTATATTATGGTACAATGGATAACTGAATAGGATTTAGGAAAAAATAGTTCATTTGACTCATTCCTTGCTTAGACAGTGTGAACATTGTATATGAGGACACCTACACTGGGATTAAAAAGAACATCCTGGATTTGAAGGAACAGAGAGGGGAAGATACATTCTCAAGGATAACAACAAATCAAGAAATCAATTTCCAGGCATACTAAGCATAGACCTTTTTCCTGGAAAAAAGGTAGCACAAGTAATCTTTCCCAGGCTAGAAAAGGATTAGGAATATTTTCCTCTTGTATGCCAAAGAATAACTGAAAATCTTGAAAGTTGTCATAGTACATATCAGCACTCCAAAGGGGTAGCTGTTCTTACCCAAAAAGACCAAGTTCCTATAGTTCTCCAGTATCACATCCCTGTACAGCTTTTTCTGAGATGGGTTCAATTGTACCCACTCTTCCTGGGTGAATTCCACAGCCACATCCTTGAATGTCACTGATTCCTGAAATATCAAAAACATTTGTGCTCACTTAGTTCTAACTGTTATGATGTTCAAATGTAAACTGTTTGGCAGCAGGGTAAGGGAACTGAAGGCTAGGATAGCAAGTGGTACAGGAAATTGAGTCAACTGAGGCAACCACAGTAACCCAATTTTGTGACTCAATTCTGGGGGTAGCTCAGTCCTTTTTTGTTATAACTATAGCTCACCTTCTGTCTTGTGAGAAATATTTATTCAATTGTAGGAATTTGGAGAAAACCTTATTGTATTGCTTGAACCCAGCCCTGTGTGGCTGGGAAACAAGACCACCTGTATCTGCTCTTCAGAGACCAGTAACCAAGGACCGAGGTCATGCTGACCAGAAATCCAGTCAGATCCAAAAAGACCGATAAAAGGAGTTTTCTCACAATCGCACACATGAAGCAACTCATATATCTGACATCCACCTGACCCCATATTGAACAATTACTTGTTTCCACATTCCTTTGATTGTATACAGACACTTTGGGGGAGTATGGCACCTCATTTTCTGAATTCAGGGAACTGAACCTGTTGCCTTTCCCCCCTCCCAACATGGAAAGTGCCCAATGTTTCCTCCAATTAGAAATCAGATTGCCTGATAGTCCATTATTTGCTTTGAATTAATTGGTCTTGTTTGATTGGTTTTTAATGTAGAAAAGTACATCTCCATCCATATTCAGGATCCAGCCCTAAGTTGAGGAAGGGCCTGGTCCCAGTTTGTTGTGCAATTGCCATGCATTGCTTAATAAACTGATATGCCCCAAAGATTGAACCTTTGTTTCCCCAGTCATTTCATCTTTCACTTGCCATGAGGGATTGTTTCATTTCTTTATTTGCATCCCAGTACAGTGTCTGATATATAGCAGGCACTTAAGAATTCATCTCCCAGAAAGAACTGATAAACAGAAGAATATATAGAATCATTTTACATACACATACACATACACCTACACACACAGACATTTGTATCTAATGGTAGCCATCTCTAGGATTGGGAGGAGAAGGGAGAAAAATAAGTTTACATGATAATTTTTTTATACATTTAAAAGAAATAGCAAGTTGTAGATAAAAGATTTGTAGTTTCATAAGAAATCATCTTTTTTTAATCATACTATATATTGGAAATGCTTGTTGTATTGCATAAATTAAAAATTAAATGAATATCAAAGGAACTAATGAAAAGAAATGCAGGGGAAGGTGGCCTAGCAATTCCAGACCTTAAGTTGCATTATAAAGCAGCAATCATCAAAACTGATTGGTACTGCTAAGAAATAGAGTGGTGGATCAATGGAATAGGTTAAATATGCAAGACACAGTAATCAATGACTAAAGTAATCTATTATTTGATAAACCCAAAGACCCCAGCTTCTGGGATAAGAACCCACTCTTTGGAAAAAAACTGCTGGGAAACTGGAAAAGAGTATGGCAGAAACTAGGCACAGACCCACATCTCACACCATATACCAAAATAAAGTCAAAGTGGGTTCATGGCTTAGTATAAAGGCTGATACAATAAGTAAACTGGGAGAAAAAGGAGTAGTTTACCTCTCAGATCTATGGAGAACAAAATAATTCATGACCAAACAGGAGACAGAGAACATTATGAAAAGCAAAACAAATAATTCTGATTACATTAAATTGAAAAGTTTTTGCGCAAACAAAGCCAATGCAACTAAGATTAGAAGGAAGGTAGAAAATTGGGAAAGAATTTTTACAACCAGTCTCTCTGATAAAGGCCTCATTTCTAAAATATATAAAGAATTAAGACAAATTTGTAAGAATACAAGCCATTCCCTGATTGATAAATGGTCAAAGGATATGAACAGACAGTTCTCAGAAGAAGAAATTAATGCCATCTATAGTCATATGAAAAAATGCTCTAAATCGTTATTGATTAGAGAAAGCCAAATCAAAATAACTCTGAGGTACCACATCACACCTATCAGATTGGCCAACGTGACAAAACAGGAAAATGATAAATGTTGCAGAAGATGTGGGAAAATTGGAACACTAATACATTGTTGGTGGAGTTGTGAAATGATCCAACCATTTTGGAGAATAATTTGGAACTATGCCCAAAGGGCTACAAAAATGTGCATACCCTTTGATCTAGCAATAGCACTTTTAGGGCTATACCCCAAAGAGATCATACAAATGGGAAAAGGACCCACATGTACAAAAATATTCATAGCAGGTCTTTTTGTGGTGGCAAAGAATTGGAAATTGAGAGGATGCCCATCAACTGGGGAATGGCTGAGCAAACTGTGTTATATGAATCTAATGGAATACTATTGTGCTATAAGAAATGATGAACAGGCTGACTTCAGAAAAACCTGGAAAAACTTGTACAGTCTGATGCTGAGTAAGTGAGCAGAACCAAGAGAACTTTGTACACAATAACAGCCATGTTATGCAATGACCAATATTGTTAAACTGAATCTTTCTCAGTATTACAAGGATCTAAGACATCACCAGAGGACTCCAGTGGAAAATGCTGTCCACATCCAAAGAAAGAACTATGGAAGTCGAATCGTTTTCACTTATTTTTACCTTGAGTTTTGCTTCCTTTTTCTGATGGTTTCTCCTTTTGGTTTTAATTTTTACTTACAACTTCACTAGTGTGAAAACATGTTTAATGGGTATCTAAATGTATAGACTATATCAGATTGTGCATCCTTGGGGAGGGGGGGAGGAAGGGTGAGAAAAATTTTCAACTCAAAAGAATATGGAAGTGATTGTTGATAAATCAAAAAAATAAATTAAAAAAACAAACAACAAAAAAAGAAGGTAGAGCTGGGGAGGAAAAGAGAAGCAGGAGAGTGAGGGTCACGCTGGGGGTCTGCCCTGCTCAGACCAGACATTCCCACTTCTACACTGCGGGGGTGAGGGGTCAGGGAGAGGGGCAGGGCTGGGGGCGGCCAGACGGAAGCGGTCATTTCTCTCCTGGGGGCGGGGGGTTTGTTTCTTTGGGCCAGCATTTTTCTTTAGAGACACTGGAGGACAAATGACCCTTTCAGCAGGGGAGGGCACGGGCCGGCAGCATCAGGGAAGGCTTCCCGGACGAAGTGTTACCCAGGAGGATGCTGGAGGAAGACAAGAGGCCACGGGAAGTCCGCACCAAGGACCAGACACTCACACCGGGAGCACGTTTCCTGGGACTCTGGGCAGAGGACAAGGCCTGAGGCCTGGAGGGGCAGGCCCTGACCAGGGCCAGGGGAAGTAGGCTTGACTGCAGGATTAGAACCCGCTCCCAGGCTCTGCCTCCGCCTGCTCGACCTCCAATCCCCGCCCCTTCCCCCCCCCCCCGCATGGGCCGCCCCCAGACCCCTGGAGACCCTCGGGGCTTCCTTCCTCCTGTGGCGGACGCTCCTCCGATTCTCCGTGTGCTCCCCAGCCAGCCCCCGGTGCTCCGACCCCGCCGCATCCCCTCACCGGTTCCGCCTGGCCTGGCCCTGCTGTAAGCCCCGCTCACCCGATCACACTTCAGCCCAGTATAGACAAGGGGAAGCGGGAACCAGCGAGGGTGGAAGAGGCGTAGAGAAAAGGAAGCGGAAATGTCATAGAAAGATAAAAGTCCAATCCTCTCGCAGGTGAGCTTGCAAATGCCCCTCAGGCGACAACGCCTTCTGGGAATTGTAGTTTAGAGGCCGATGGGGCTTCTGCATGCCTGGGGCTCGACCCCTCCCAGCCAAACTAGCTTTATCAAAGTTAATCATCGCAATATGCTGTTCTCACTGTGTATAATGTTCTCTTGGTTCTGTTCTTCACTCAGCATTGGTTCATGAGAATTTCTAGGTTTTTCTGAAATCTGTCTGCTAATCTTTTCTTATCACACAACAGTATGCCATTACATTCATATACCACAACTTATTCAGCCATTCTCCAATTGATGGGCATACCCACAATTTCCAATTCGTGGCCACCACAAAAAGCTGCTATAAATGATTTGTACATGTGGGTCCCTTACCCTTTTTTATGATCTCTCAGGGATACAGACCTACAGGTCACAATTCCAACAATGCACTAGTGTTTCCATTTTCCTGTATCTATCATTTTCCTTTTCTGTCATATTAGCCAATCTGAGAGGTGTGAGGTGGTACATTAGAGTTGTCTCCTTATGCATTTCTCCAATCAGGAGTGGTTTAAAGCATTTTTTCATAACTATAGATACCTTTAATTTCTTCATCTAAAAACTGCCTGTTCATATCCTTTGACTAGTTATCATTTGGGGAATGAATTGTATTCTTATAAACTTGACTCAGTTCTCTGTGTTAGAGAAATGAGACCATCATCAGAAACACTGGCAGTAAAAATTTGTTTCTCACTTTCTGCTTTCCTTCTAATCTTGGTTGCACTGGTTTTGTACAAATATTTAATATAATCAAAATTATCCTTTTTGCATTTCATTATGTTCTCTGCCTTTTGTTTGGTAACAAATTCTTCCCTTCTCCACATAGATAAACTATTCCTTGCTCTCCGGATTTGCTGATGGTATTATCATTTATGTATAAATCATTTCTACCTTATTTGGCTGATCCAACACTCTATTTTTAGCTAGTACCAAATCTTTGAAAATTGCCACTTTATAATGTAGTTTTAGATCTGCTAAGGCTAGGCCACCTTCCTTTGCAATACTTTTCATTAATCCTCTTGAGATTCTGGCTCTATAAAATAATTATTTGGTAGTTTCATTAGTATGGCAATAGAAAATAAATTTAAGTCAAATTGTCATTTTTATTATATTAGCTCAGCCTACCCAGGGGCGATTGATATTTTTCCAACTATTTAGATATGACTTTATTTGTGTGAAAAGTGTTTTGTAATTGTGTTCATATAGTTCCTGGGTTTGTCTTGGCAGGTAGATTCAGTGGAATAGATTACGTACACAAGACACAGTGGTCACTGTATAGTAATCTACTGTGATAAACCCAAAGACTCCAGCTTCTGAAATAAGAACTCACTTTTTCACAACTGTTGAGAAAGCTGGAAAATAAATACTGTGGTGGAACTAAGCAAAGTGAACATCATATACTACATACACCATAACAGCCTCTTCACCTTGGGATGGCATCAGTGTGGTGGTGGTTGTCCTTTGTGCTCAAAGAGGACCAAAATGACATCACTATGTCAGGGTCAAAGTACAGTGTGCCCATCAGTGGCTGATCAGACCAATATGTGCTCAGAAGACTACAACAAGTCAGATACAAATAGTCCATATGAACATTGGGAGTGGTGCATCAATGTGGGTCTCTCAAAGGACCTGTATTGCACAAACATTCCTTCCACTATCTTCTGTTCCCTTCCCATGTCAGCTCAGCACTGTCTCCCATCATCTTCATGCTAAATCATTTCTGCCACATTCTTTGTGCATCTGCCTATGGGAACAAGGACTCTTACATGTTCCTAACTCCTCTTGCTCATATGCTGTACAATTTCTTCTCCCACTCCTATCTAGCAAGGCATAGATGATGGATTGAGGGAGGGAAGGAGGTATGACTCCTCACTCACGATACAGACTGTGACCCGTGATTACTGGACATGTTCTGAGCTATAAGGATGATATACTTGTTTTTCACCTCCTTCTGCTGCGCTTCTGTAAGCCCAATCATATCTTTTTTTGCTCTAGTATGAGTTCTGTGATGCCTAGTAAGATGTGCCTTCCTCAAGAAGGCCTTCCCACACACAATGCATTGATAATGTTTCTCTCCAATATGAATTATTTGATGTCGAATAAGTTCTGAGTTGTATGGGAAAGCCTCCCCACGCTCCTTATATTCAAAAAGAAAGTTACCAATATGAATTTGCTCATACACGTTAACATTTACTCTTTCTTCTGAAGGACTTCCCACATTCACTACATTCATAAGGTTTCTCTTTTCCAGTATGAACTCTCTGATTCACTTTAAGTTGTTCCTTACTCCTAAAAGCCTTTTACATTCACCACATTCATAAAGTTTCTCTCCAGTATGAATTCTTTGATGAACAGGAAGCTCTGACTTACTCCTGAAGGCCTTCCCACCTTCACTATATTCTTAAGGTTTCTCTCCAGTATGACTTCTCTGATGCACAGTAAGCTCTGATTTAATCCTGAAGGCTCTCCCACATTCACTACATTCATAAGGTTTCTCTCCATTATGAATTCTCTGATGCTCAGTATGATGTGCTTTAATCTTGAACTCCTTTCCACACTCACTACATTCATAAAGTGTCTCTCCAGTGTGAACTCTCTGGTGCATTCTAAGGTGTTTCTTAATCCTGAAGGCCTTCCCACATTCACTACATTCATAAGGTTTCTCTCCAGTATGAATTCTCTGATGCAGTATAAGTTGTTTCTTACTCCTGAAGGCCTTCCTACATTCACTACATTCATAAGGTTTCTCTCCACTATGAATTCTTTCATGCACTGTAAGTTCTGTTTTACTCCTGAATGTCTTCCCACATTCCCTACATTCATACAGTCTCTTTTCAGTATGAACTTTTTGATGTTGAGTAAGATATGAGTTATAGGGGAAAGACTTCCCACAGTCCTTACATTCATAAAGCACCTCTCCAGTATGAATTCTCTGATGCACAGTAAGTTCTGACTTACTCTTGAAGGACTTCCCACATTCACTGCACTCATAAGGCTTTTCTCCAGTATGAATTCTCTGATGCAAAGTAAGCCCTGACTTAATCCTGAAGGCCTTTCCACATTCACGACATTCAAAAGGTTTCTCTCCAGTATGAATTCTCTGATGGTCACTACAATGTGATTTCCTCCTGAAGGACTTCCCACATTCACTACATTCATAAGGTTTCTCTTCAATGTGAACTTTCTGATGCATTGTAAGTTGTTTCTTAATCCTAAAGGCCTTTCCACATTCACTACATTTATAAGGTTTCTCTCCAGTATGAATATGCTGATGCACAGTAAGCTCTGATTTACTCCTGAAGGCCTTCCTACATTCAGTACATTCATAAGGTTTCTCTCCAGTATGAATTCTCTGGTGCACTATAAGTTGTTTCTTAATCCTGAAGGCCTTCCTACATTCACTACATTCATAAGGTTTCTCTCCACTATGAATTCTCTCATGTACTGTAACTTCTGTTTTCCTCCTGAAGGTTTTCCCACATTCACTACATTCATAAGGTTTCTCTCCAGTATGAATTTTTTGATGTTCAGTAAGATATGAGTTATAGGGGAAAGCCTTCCCACACTCCTTACATTCATAAAGCATCTCTCCAGTATGAATTCTCTGATGCACAGTAAGCTCTGACTTACTCTTGACGGACTTCCCACATTCACTGCACTCATAAGGCTTCTCTCCAGTATGACTTCTCTGATGCACAGTAAGCTCTGCCTTACTCTTGAAGGACTTCCCACATTCACTACACTCATAAGGCTTCTCTCCAGTATGAATTCTCTGATGCACAGTAAGGTCTGACTTACTCTTGTAGGCCTTCCCACATGCACTACATTCATAAGGTTTCTCACCAGTATGAATTCTCTGATGCACAGTAAGCTCTGACTTACTCTTGTAGGCCTTCCCACATGCACTACATTCATAAGGTTTCTCTCCAGTATGAATTCTCTGATGCACTCTAAGTTGTTTCTTAATCCTGAAGGCCTTTCTACATTCACTACATTCATAAGGTTTCTCTCCACTATGAATTCTCTCATGTACTTTAAATTCTGTTTTACTCCTGAAGGTTTTCCCACATTCCCTACATTCATACAGTCTCTTTCCAGTATGAATTTTTTGATGTTGAGTAAGATATGAGTTATAGGGGAAAGCCTTCCCACACTCCTTACATTCATAAAGCACCTCTCCAGTATGAATTCTCTGATGCACAGTAAGCTCTGACTTAATCCTGAAGGACTTCCCACATTCACTGCACTCATAAGGCTTCTCTCCAGTATGAATTCTCTGATGCACAGTAAGCCCTGACTTAATCCTGAAGGCCTTTCCACATTCACGACATTCATGAGGTTTCTCTCCAGTATGAATTCTCTGATGCTCACTACGATGTGATTTCCTCCTGAAGGACTTCCCACATTCACTACATTCATAAGGTTTCTCTTCAGTGTGAACTTTCTGATGCATTCTAAGATATATCTTAATCCTAAAGGCCTTTCCACATTCACTACATTTATAAGGTTTCTCTCCAGTATGAATTCTCTGATGCACAGTAAGCTCTGACTTCCTCTTGAAGGCCTTCCCACATTCACTACATTCATAAGGTTTCTCTTCAGTGTGAACTTTCTGATGCATTGTAAGTTGTTTCTTAATCCTAAAGGCCTTTCCACATTCACTACAATTATAAGGTTTCTCTCCAGTATGAATTTTTTGATGTTGAGTAAGATTTGAATTGCAGAGGAAAGCCTTCCCACACTCCTTACATTCATAAAGCATCTTTCCAGTATGAATTATCTGACACACAGCAAGATGCTCCTTGCCCAGGAAGGCATTCCCATATCCATTACATCCAAGAGGTTTATCTCCAGCAAATTCCTGGCTCTCTGAAAGGAAGAATACAGAGCTGATTAACCCTGCCCTTTTCACCCTTTTCCAAGGTTCTTAGTTGCTCAAAGGTTTTAGAGATATTCTCTTGCCTTCTCACTTCAGAAGGCCAGTCTCACTAGCCTTCCACTAGAGATTGGTTTATCTTACGTGAAAGTATGATGACTCAAAGGTAACATGTAAATGAATTCACATAACATGAAATTACCAAGCGGGAATGAATGAACCCTTACTCTACTTTCAATGGCTGACATTTGAATGGAAAAGAATATTCAGAAAAAATAAACAAACAGATGATTTTGATGTATCCTTATCCTCTGAAGTGAAAATAGTAAGGGAAAAGACTGAACAGAAAGAAAATAGAGAATTAAGTTCAGAGTGAGGAAGAGAAATAGATACAAGAAGTCAACAGAATAAAGAAGAAATATGAGGCTGAAAACATGAGAACTGTTGCTATAAATTTCCTCTAAATCTAACATACCTACTTTGTAAGGAATTGATTGAAATTTGTGAGATGAAGACGTATGGTGTTTTTCACAAGAGAAATGACTAATAAGTACCTGAAACATTACTCAAACTCTGCTAATCAAAGAAGCAAAAATGAAAACAATTTGGAGGTAGCAATAAACAGCCTTCAGATTAGCAAGATACCTGAAAAGTATAAATTTTGGGAATTATGTTGAAATAGCTACTTATTAAGCTGCTGCCATTTTCCTTAAATGATAAGAATTTCAGCTGCAGCTACAAAACTGTTCATACCCTCTCACCCTATGGCCCCAGTAGTAGGTCTGCAGCTTCAATATGTTACTGAAAGCAAACAAAGCACTCTCAGCAAATTTTCACAACAGCTTTTTGTGAAAGAGCAAAATAATACAGGGCAGGTAGGTGGCACAGTGAATAGAGCACTGGTCCTGAAGTAAGGAGGACCAGAGTTCAAATGTGACCGCAGACCAAAGAACTGACATGTAATAGCTCTGTGATCCTGGGAAAATCCCTTAACTCCACTGCCTAAAAAAAAAAAGTACTCTTTAAAAAAAATAGCAAAATAATGAAAATCTTTAGGTCCAATGATGGGGTTATGGCTATACAAGTCCTGTGATATGAACATAATAATGTGCCTTTATAAACATAATTTCAAAGCATAAAGAAAAAAACAGGATAACATATAAAATGACAGGCTGAAGAAACGGGAATTAGGTTAGGAGTATTTTTAAAAGTAGCAGCAAAGCAACATAATCATAGACACAAAACAAGAAAATATCAGAAAAGAGCTCACAAACAAAAAGAACCCACTACTTAATACTTTCAATAATGTGCTTACTTTAAAAGAATGAATTCATGCAAGTGAGGCAGGTGAACTAAGATGAACTTCAATGAACAGAAGAAATATAACTGCCCTGTACTGAGGCAAAACTTTGAGAGTGGACGCACATTAAAGAGATACATTAAAAAAGGACCTTCTTGAGGTAAAAAATGAAATTAAAACTCTCAACTGCTCTCAACAGGCCAGAGAAGCTTTGACAGACCAGTTTGTTCAATGTTTTTGAAGAGCTTTGACCTAAAATGACCAACAGATTACCAGTTTGCAATGACTCATCTGCTTGGTTTTATGTAGTCACCTGGACAGCTGATTCTTGAAATATCTGCCTCTGGCAAGGAAGACACTTCCTTTCTTTCCAACTGGTCACTCTCATTTGGTTTGGAAGCTGCAAATCCTGTTCATTGAAAATGGAAAAGGGCTAGGCAGTCATCTCATATCGAGTTCCATCACTGAACAGCTGGATGAAATACTCCCTCCAACTTTACTAGAAAGGTGGGGGAATAAGGGTGTTAGACATATCTTATACGCCCAAGAACACTATGTTACCTGATTTTGTCTGACTTTTTTTTTCTTCTTCAATCATGGGGAGCTCAATGGGTTGGTTGGAGGGAGAAGTAGGATTTTTTCTTTCTTTTTGGTTTTTTTTTTCAGGTGGCAGGGGAAGAAGAAATTAAATCTTTTTTCAAAAAGTGTCCACAAAACTTAATAAAAGAATTCAAAACAAGTTCAAACTCTCTTTCGAAAAAAAGGAGGCATGCTAGGAAGACCTCAAGGATAGTACAAAAGAGCAATGGAAGGATACTCTGTATTATGCTAAAATGGATTACTGAGTAGGACTTCAGAAGAAATAGTTCACTTGACGTGGTGACTGCTTACGCAGTGGGAACACCGCATGATGAACCCTACATTGGGATTATAAAGAATATCTTGGATGTGAGGTAATAACAGAGGGGAAGATACGTTCTCAAGGATAACAACAAATCAAGAAATCAATTTCCAGGCATACTAAGCTTGGACCTTTTTCCTGGAAACAGGTAGCACAAGTAATCTGTCTCTTGGTACAAATGGATTAGGAAGAGTTTCCTTTTGCATGCCAAAGAACAACTGTTAAAATCTTGCTCTCATAGTATATATCAAGACTCCAAAGGGGTAGCTGTTCTTACCCAAAGAGACCAAGTTCCTATAGTTCTCCAGCATCACATCCCTGTACAATTTTTTCTGAGATGGGTTCAATTGTACCCACTCTTCCTGGGTGAATTCCACAGCCACATCCTTGAACGTCACTGATTCCTGAAACAACAAAAACATTTGTGCTTACCCAGCTAAAGCTCTTAACTGTTATGAAGTTCAAATGTAAACTACTTTCTATTAAGATGCGGGAATTGAGGGTTTTAGGACAGGAAGTGGTACAGGGATTTGAGGCAACTGAGTCAACCACATTAACTCCATTTTCTGACTCAATTCTAGAGGTACCTCAGTTCCTTTTTTGTTCAATCACAGGTCTAGTCCAACTTCTGTATTTTGAGAAAAATTTATTCAGTTATGGAAATTGGGAGATAACCTAATTGCATTGTTTGAACTTAGCTTTGCATGACTCAGAGAGGAGACCTACTCTATGTGCTGTTCAGTCCTTAAGGACCTAGGTCATGCTGATCAGAAACCCAGTCAAATGTTAAAAGACTGATATAAGGAGTTTTCTCACAATTGTACATCTGAAGCAACCCATATGTCTTATCTGAAAGCTGGCCCCCTACTGAACAATTAATTACTGTTCCCATGTTCCTTTCATCGTATATTACTTTCAGGGAGTGGGACACCTCATTCTGAATGGAGGGAACTGAACCTGTTCCTTTCCCCCTCCCAACATGAAAAGTTCCCAGTCGCTTCTCCAATTAGAAATCAGATTACCTAACATTATATTATTTGCTTTTAATTAATTGGTCTTCTTTGATTGTTTTTTAATTTATAAAAGTATGTCTTGCCCTATTCAGGATCCACCTCTAAGACGAGGAGGGGGCCTGGTCCCAGTTTTCTGTGCAACTGCCATGCATTGCTTAATATATTGATATGCCCAAAAGATTGAACCTTTGTTTCTTTAGCCATTTCATCTTTCACTTCCCATCAAGAATTGTTTTATTTATTTATTTGCATCCCAGTAGAGTGTCTGGTATATAGCAGGCACTTAAGAATTCCTCTCCCAAAAAGAACTAATACAAGTGTGTATAGAATGATTTTATATACACATATACATAAACATACAAACACACACACACACACACACATACACACACATACATACAGACATTTGTATCTAATGGTAGCCATCTCTAGAGTTTGGGGGGGTAGTGAGAAAAATTTATGTGGAATTTCATTATATATTTAAAAAGAATAGCAAGTTGTAGATATCAGATTTTTAGTTTCCCATACAATCATCTTTTGTTATTATACACGTATTGGAAATGCTTGTTTTATTCCAAAAATTAAAAATTAAACAAACAAAAATTTTAAAAAAAAGAATTACTCTCTAATTAGTCTGCAGATTTCTTCATGGAAGGAGCTAGTATTTGGTCCTTCGTATCCTCGGCACGCAGCACAGTGCCTGGCACTAAGTAGGTATTTAATTAATGCTTACTGTTGTAAATGGTTCCAATGACATCAATTTTAAACTTGTCCTTCATTTTTGTTGTTTACATTGAACACCTGTGGCTCCTACTTCTACCCTCTGAGCTGAAGGAGAAATATGGCTAATTTCTTTTGTACTCGCTGAAATAAACAATGAAAATGAAATAGCTGAAGATAGCTATTATGTAGTCCGAAGTATTCACTTCTAATCTAAACAAGCCCAGTTTCTTTGAGCAATCAGCCTGGTCTCTTCAGAAGTAAGAGAGCTACCTTCCTCTTTTCATCCAATCACTGTGCTTCTTGAAATGTGCTGCTCTGAAATGAACACCATTGTGTTCCATGCTCCTGGAACCACAAAAGCAAAGACCAGCACGGTGGACTACAATCTCCTGTCTGTAACAACATGTGAACAATTTTTCACTATTGAAAAGGGTGTTAAAGGACCATTACTTTCCAATTCCTGTATTTAAGAATCCAATTTTCTCATTTTACAAATTAGGGAAGTGAGGCCCTCAGAGGGAAAGTTGACTTGCTTAAGGTCAAAAGGGGAGTAACTGATGCATCTACACTTTGAGCGCAGGTCCTGCTGCCTTCAAATCCAGGGCTATTCTGAATGTACAATGTTGCCATTCCCTTTCAGTATAACCAGACTAAGGCCACACTGAGTTTTTGGACAGAAACATTCAAAGAGAAGTCTCTTGGGGCAGCAAAGAACTGGAAACAAACTGAATTCTCAACACTAAAGAACAGCTAGAAAAATATGGTATATGAACAACAGTCATTTATATAGATAATTATGACAAATATAAGCAATTCTGAGAAGCATTTGAAGATATGCATTAACTGACAGTGCAAAATAAGCAGACCCAACAAAATATAATACACAAATACTTCAAAACTATAAATAATCAAAAAAAGATACTGAACTATAAAAAAAATAATACATGTGAACATTCGGGGTAGATTCTCTAAATTCAATCATCTCATATTTCTTCTGAGCTACTTCCATTCTGCTTTGCTCATAGAGTATAGCACCTCTCAGATGAGGGCATGCCATGATGGGCATCCTGTACCAGTTTCTCCCAAGTCACATATTCCATTCCAAAGTTCTTAAAAGAGACCTTGAGAGTCCTTTCTGTTAGAGCAAAGTATTAGGAACAGGGATACCCATCAACTGGAAAATACCTGATCATTTCATGAAGTGGAATATTATTGTGCCCTAAGAAATCTTGAAAACGATACTTTGAAAGAAAATAGGAAGACTTGCATAAAGCAATGAAGGGAGAAAAGCAGAACTAAGAAAACAATTTACAAATGACAATACCATTCAATAATAAGCCATGACTCCAGAGATCTGATGATGAAACTTGCTACCGAAATTCTAACACAAAAGTGCTGACAAACTTGTTTATTTATTTTACATGACTATGCTTACTAGCTATAAATGCACTGTGTTTTTCTTTTTTTACTGGACGGGCAAGGAGAGGGTAGCATGTAAAAGGAAGAGAGCTAGAGATAGTGTTGTCAGAAAAAAAGAGAAAAGATGCACAGAAGAGAAGGAAGTCGAAAAAGAAAAAGAGGACAGTTTTAAAAGTCCATGCAATTGATAGACAAAAACAACCCAAAAAGTCTATAACCAAGCCTCAAAGAAACATGCAGTTTCGACAAAAGCCCAACAAGAATGATGGAGTTGTGAACTGATCCAACCATTCTGGAGAGTAATTTGGAACTATGCCCAAAAGGCCTAAAACACTGCACATTTTTTAATCCAGCAATACCATCACTAGGTCTGTATCCCAAAGAGATTATAAGAAGGCAAAGGGACCCACATGTACAAAAATATTTATAGCACTCTTTTCTGGTGGCAAAGAATTGGAAATTGAAAGGATGCCTATCAAATAGGGAATGGCTGAACAAGTTCTGGTTCCTGCATGTAATAGAATACAATTGTGCTATAAGAAATAATGAGCAGGCAGATTTGAGAATAACAGAGGAAGACTTACATGAATGATGATGAATGAAGTGAGCAGAACCAGGAGAACAGTATACATAGTGACAGCAAAATTGTAATGATCAACTTTGACAGCTGGCTCTTCTCAGCAACACAATGATGTAAGACAATGCTATCTACATCCAAACAAAGAACCATGGAGAGTGAATTCAGAGCAAACATACTATTTCCACTTTTTTTTGCTTGTTTTCTTTTCTTGTAGCTTTTTCCAGCCTGTTCCGATTCTTCTTTCACAACAATTATGTTTAATATGAGTGTACGTGTGTAACCTATATCTGACTTCTTGCCATCTAGGAGAAACGGAAAGAAAGGCTGGGAGGTAAAAGAAAGTTTGGAACTCAAAATCAAAAGTGAATGTTAAAAACTATCCTTACTTGTAATTAGAAAAAAATAAAATACTATTAAGTGGAAAAATAAAATATAATTTTCAAAAGAGTTTATAACTCTCCAATTGGGTAACTTCCTTTTCATAATTTCCTCAATTGCTTTTATTGTTTTTCCTAATTTTTTCTCAATCTCTCTCATTTAATTTTTGAGTTCCATTTTAAGTTCAATCAAGAGTTCTTTTTCGGCTAGTGACCATTTAACATTATTTTCTGGGACAGCAGTGGCTTTTTTTACCTCACTGTTTTTCTCTGAATATGAACCCAGATACTGTTTATCACCAAAGCATCTATCTACAATTGGGTTCTTTTCCCTCTGCTTGCTTATTTTGATTTTCAGTATTTTATCATAATCAAGTTTTAATCCCCAAGTTCTAGGCCTCAAGTCATGCTTACTGTTATTTTCTGAATTCCGTGGAAGGCTCAACCTCAGGAACTCCTGTCCTCCCTTAAACCACAGTTCAGGCCTCTAGCCATTCTGTCCCCAAAATGTTCGACCTCCCTCTGGTATTGCACTCACCAGGTATGTGCTCACTTCTAACCTACAGCTACAACCCCAGATAACTTCTGGTTAGCTCTGCTAGATCTAGCTTTGGGAAACAGAGGGAGGGGGCTGGAGGGTTTTTCAATCTTCCTACATTCAGCCATCTGCTGGTCCTTAGGCAAAAGTTTGAGGTGCAAGTTTGCGAGGTAAAATTTCTGGAGGCCTAGCTTGCTTCTTGCAGAACTGATCCAGGGCCTCTAATCTGTTGATTCAATGAAGTCAGCCTGGAAGTGACTACACCTCACTTACCCCAAAACTCAGCCCTTGGAGGTCCTCTCAAGTTTTCTTAGGAGAACAACTTGCTTTACCCCTTTATTTCTGCTCCTCCCCATTTATTTTATGGCAATACTCCATGTGTTTCTGGAGGAAATATACAGACCAATTTTTTTTCTGTGAATTTTCCTGTGTTTTTCCATTTGGCCTACTCTGTTTTTTATGGAGTTATTTTCTTCAACATTTTTTTGTGTCTCATTTACCAAGCTGTTGACTCATTTTTTATGACTTTCTTGCATCACTCTCATTTCTCCTCTACTTACTTGATTTTCAAAAGCTTTTTTAACCTCTTTCACTGCCTGACACCAATTAATATTTTTCTTGTAGGCTTTGGATGTAAGATCTTTGACTTTGTTGTCTTCTGAGTGTGTGTTTGGTTCTTCTCTGTCACCACAGTAATTTTCTATGGTCAGAATGGGGCTGTACTCACTCAGCCTGGGCTCCAGTCCCACCAAGGCGCAACAGACCTTTCCTGCTAACCTTCTAAGTGGTTTTTTGGCATCTCTAGGCTGAGAGGTCTGGAAACCATCACTGCTACCTGTAATTCAGTGGCCCCAAGGCCTGATTCCAGTTTGCTGGGCCCTGACTGCACTGGTACAACCTGTGTAGGACTGCACTACTCTCTCACCTTGGTGCAACAAACCTTTCCTGACAACCTTCTAAGTTGTCTTGTGCTGGAAAATTGTTTCTCTCTGACTTTTTGTGGGTTCCACTGCTCTAGAATTTCTTTAAAATAATTATTAAAGGTATTGGGGGGGGGCTGAGGGGACTTCCTGCCTTTTTTACACCGCCATCCCGCTCTAGCTTACATTAAATTAAAAAGGTTTTGTATAAATGAAACAAATGTTGCCAAGATCAGAGGGAAAGAAAAAAATTGCAAAAACTACTCTCGATGATCTCAGACAAAGGTCTTATACCTAAAATATATGAAGAAATTTATGAAATCTGTAATACAAATCATTCCTTAATTGATAAGTGGCCAAAGCATATGAACAGGCAGTTTTGTAACAAAGAAATCAAAACAATTTATACTGATGTGAAACAATGCTCTAAATCATAATTGATTAGAGAAATGAAAATTCAAACAACCTTGAAGATATCAGTTTATACCTATCAGTGTGGCTGAAATAATAGACAGGGAAACCAACAAATATTGGGAGGGGATGTGGAAAAACTGGGACACTAACTCATTCTTGGTGGAATTGTCAACTGATCCAACGGTTTTGGACAGCAACTTGAAATTTTGACCAAAAAGCGATGAAACTCTCTATACTCACTGATCCAGTAATACCAATACTAGATCCATTTCCAAAGATGATTAGGGAAAAAAAGAAAAGAACCCACATGTTCTCAAATGTTTATACCAGCTCTCTTTCTGGTGGCAAAGAACTGGAAATTGCAGGGATGCCTAACCACTGGGGAATGGCTGGACAAGTTGTGGTATAAGATTATGATAGATTTTTGGTGTAATATAAGAAAAGTATGAGCTCAATGATCTTAGAATGACTTACAGAGAACCAAGGGAACATTGTATATACTAACAGCAGTATTGTTTTAAGAATGAATTTGAATAAGTTATTTTGATTACTGTAAATACCTAAATTAACTATGAAGGACATATGAAGACATTATCTGCATCCAGAGAAAGAACTGAAAATTAAAGGATGTATAGAAGAATTTTACATACACATATATACATACCTGCATACACACAAACACAAACACACACATGTTCCTACTTGTGTCTAATGGTAGCCATAGAGGGGAGGAGGGAGAAAAAAATTCACACGGTAACTTTGTAACACATTTAAAAGGAGTAACAAACTGAACATAAAAGATGTGCAATTTCACATGTAATTCGTTTTTATTCTGCTATGAAAATGCTTGTTGTATCCCATGAATTATAAATAACACCAATAAATGTGAAAAGTGAGAAGAAACAGGAAGACTGAGCACAGCAGCAGCAGTAATGATCAACTGTGAAAGACTCAGCCACTCTGATGAATACAATGACCCAGGAAAAGTTTAAAGGACTCATTAAAAAAACAGAGAGAACGGATGAACTTTGAGTGAGGACTGAAGCTCCCTCTTTCTCACTTTCATGGTCCTTACTTTTTTTTTTTTGGACCAGGAGTAATATACAACTGTTCTGCATTACCTTACAATCATAATGGCTATCCTATTTTTCCCTTCTCAAAGGGTGGGGGAAGGAGTGGATGATTGGAAAGGATTTAGAACTCAAAATTAGAAAAAAAAACAACCCCACAAAGTAACTGGAAGGTCTTTTTTCTTTTTTTCAGTGTGCAGAGCATGCAGTGGTGTCTGTGGTTATATGATTCTCTGATGCCCACGATTCCTAGTGTTACAGCACAGGACAAAGAAACCTATCCCACGGTCTCTGGCCTAAGATGCTATTTGAGGAAAGCAGCAAGTGGAACTCACCTTCCCGGGCGTGGCTGTCAGGGCAGGAGCCATTCCCTCTTCCTCCAGGCTGTCCTCCTGGGGCAGAGCAGAGGCCACAGAAGGGAGAGCTGGGGAGGAAAGGAGAAGCAGGAGAGTGAGGGGTCACGTGGGGGTCTGCCCTGCTCAGACCAGACGTTCCCACTTCTCCACTGATGGGAGATCGGGGAGGGGGACAGGGAGCTGGGGGCGAGACTGAAGGAGCATTAGAACCCGCCCCCAGGCTCCGCCTCCGCCTGCTCGGCCTCCAACCCCCCGAATCCCCCCAAGCACTCGCCGCCCCCAGACCCCTGGGAGCCCCTCGGGGCCTTCCTTCCTCCTCTGCCGGACGCTCCTCCCATTCTCCGTGAGCTCCCCAGCCAGCCCCCGGTGCTCCGCCCCGCCCCGCCGCAACCCCGCACCGGCTCCGCCTGGGCCCGGCCCCTCTCTAGGCCCTGCTCACGGTCACACTTCAGCCCAGAACAGAGAATGGGAAGCGGGAACAAGCGAGGGCGGAACAGGCAGAGAGAAAGGGAAGCGGAAGTGGCCTAGTAAGAAGGAAGTCCCGTCCTCCCTCCTTTGGGGGTTGGGAAAATACCCCTGAGGCGAGCACGCCCTTCTGGGAATCGTAGTCTGAAGTGTGAGGCGCCTTCTGCGCATGCCTGGAGCTCGGCCTTTTCCCCGTCTTGGAATGTGTCCTGCCTCCCTGGCTGCCCGCCCCTGGCTCTTCCTGCCAGCAGGCCCGCCCCCCCGACTCCTCCCCTTACCTCCTGCGTGGTCTTCACAACCTCAGAGGCCACGGGGAGTAGCCAGGCGTGGGCTCACAGACCTCGAGAGCTCTTCCGTGGGTAATCAAGGGCACACTCTCTCCCACTCTGGCACCGTCACACCAGGCCGGATTCCAATGAAAGGCTTGCTGTGCACCAGCATCCTGTCGGAGAAAGTGACGGAAACACGCAGGGAAGACAGGGCTCTGAGGAGGGAGACTAGGGGCTGGGGCAGTTTGGCGGGAGTGCTCGCTCAGCCCCCTGGGGCATCCAGGAGAGCAGGACACGAGTGGGCCCGGGGCAGCAGGAGAGGTCAAGGGGGCGCCGGCCAGGACAAGGCCGTGCTGGCTTTGTGTCTGTTTCCTCTGACCCGAGGGAAACCAGGAGACGTGGAGAGCATTTGTCTGGGTCTGAGGAATGCCAGGCGTCTGCTAGATGGGCTCAATAAAACTCAGAGCAAACATTTACTTGGTGCTTACTGTGTTCCAAGCCCCGCTGAGGCCTTATAATGACTATCTCATCCGGTCTTCAAAATATCCCTGGGAAACAGGTGCTGTTAAAGACATTATTTTACAAATGTGGAAACTAGGGTGAAGTGACTTGCCCAGGGTCCCACAGCTATCAAGTGCTTGAACTTGGATTTCAGCTCAGGTCTGGGAGAGGTAACAGTAGCAATGTGACAAGTTTGATTCATAAGAGGACTTCATCACCAGAATGTGGGTACCTGTCTGGTGCTTTTCTGAGGTCAGAGGGTACCTGGTCAAAGCAATGTCATAAATATATGATTTTGCCAGGGGGTGAGATCACCCGGATGGTGAAGACAGCGGATCGTTGTTATGCCAAGCTCAGAACACAGCTTACTTGCTTCGCCTTAGCGCTGGAAAACAGGGTGTCTAAGAAAATCTTAACAAGACAATATTGACAAGCAATAATTTAGCCTGCTACTATCAGCCACCAAGACAGCCTCCCAAGCTCCTTATCTGTGGTGCTGCCATCCTGCATTCTGGAGTCCCCGCCTGGTTCAGTGGCAGTGGGTCTGGGACAGACTATACTCTCCCAGTCATCACTGTACAGGGTGAAGATGCTGGACTGCATTGCTATGAACATCATTACAGCTGGGCTGTCACAGTGATCCAGCCCTGAACAAAAACCACCTGGTGACATTTGGCTGCCTCAGCTCAGAGCACAGCTGCTTTAACCTTAGGTCAGAGCAGGGACTGCTGTCTTGTCAGGACTGAGCTCTGTTGCCCCCACCCCCACCGCCTCCTTCCTCCGAAGCCCCACATCACTCACACATTATATTCTCCCAACAAAGGCAGGGCAGAGAGCTGAGAATAACCCCAATATACAGATTTGAGGGAATGTAGGAGAGACATAACCAAGTAATATTAATATTGCACATACATCCAGAATTCTTCATTCTATCCCTCATGTGTACATTGGAGAAGCCAAACTGTGGGTTTTACTAAAAATGACAAATGCTGGCTTATTTTGATCCAAGCCTTACACTCTTCAGGTAAATCAGGCATGTAGATGGCATAGCCCGAAGTCAGGATGAATCCTTTTCTTGAGTTTCAATCTGGTCTCAGACACTTATTGACTGTGTGACCCTGGGCAAGTCACAGAACTTGGTCTGCTTCATTTTTTTTATCCATGAAATGAGATGGAGGAAGAAATGGCCAACCACTCCAGTATCCCAGCCAAGAATACCTTAAACGGGGTCACAAAAGAGTCACACACGACGGGAAATGACTGAACAACAACTGACCTTGCATCCATGTCCTCATTCTTTCACAGTCATTCAGGGTAAGTCACCAAGCATTTTTAAGCACCTTCTGTGTGCCAGGCACTGTGCTAAATGGTGCAGGTACAAAGACAGGGAAAATCAACCTCTCCACTCAAGGACCCAGTCAGTGGGAGACAACAACAGCATCCAGCTATGTACAAACAGTATATAGGCAGGACAAATTGGAGTTAATCCGCAAAAGGTGACTTCTGGGATTAAAGGTGAATAGGGGGAAAGTTCTTCCTGAATGGAGATGAGATTTTACGTGGGACCTCTAGGAAGCCTGGGATGCCAGCAGATGAGCAGGAGGAAGGACAGTTACTTGTGGGACCAAGTGGTTCAATGTTGTGCCTTAGATCAAAGAGCAGGTATGTATCAGAGGTTAAACTTGAACCCAGGCCTTCCTATCTTTTAGACCCCTCTGCTGCCTTTGGAGAAAGTGATAGCAATTAAGAAAAAAAAAGAACGGAGTATCAATAACATATTTAAAAATGAAATACATAAAACCGCAAAAACATGAGAAGAGGACAGTGAATAATTTTATTATCATCTTCTTAAATGTAATTGTGTAAAAAAACTGCATGGAATAAGTTTATGGCTTTATCCACCACCCTCTTTTTTGTATTCTTTATGAATCACAATGTTTGTACTTGTGGAGTAATGAGTTCATAATTTTTAAAAAGGAGGAAGAGACAGAGAAGATGAATGCAGCAGCTCTAGTCTGTAAAGAAAAGCAATCTGCCTCAGAGAAGGGATGGAACAGAGAGAGGTGCTGTGGAGACGGATCACATACATTTTATTATGCACAGTTCCCAGCCAAGCTGTGGCTAAGGAATGGGTGACATATATTCACGTATGAGTGTGTGTGTGTGTGTGTGTGTGTGTGTGTGTGTGTATGCATGCCTTTTACAGGTGGAGGTAAGACACATTCAGATATAAGCAAAAAATGAAACAAAAGTAAAGACTTAGCTGTCAGGGAATTGATTATTTCAAAGAAGTACCCTTGGAAGGTCATCACCTGTGTCTGTAAGTAAGAAGTTGCTCATACCACTACTTTATTCTTTCTTCTTGCAAGAATACTACAAAGAGGGGCAAGTAGATGGTGTACTGGGTACAGCACCAGCCCTGGATTCAGGAAGACCTGAATTTACATCTGGCCTCAGACACTTGACACTTACTAGCTGCGTGACCCTGGGCAAGTCATTTTACCCCACTGCCTCTCAAAAAAAAAAAAGACTACCAAGGAAAATCATTGTGAATACTAGTAATAATCACTAGTATTTACCTAACATTTTAAATTTTGCTAAGCACTGCAGAAGCAGTATCTCATTTGTTCCTCCTAAGAACCCCATGATGTAGGTGCTATTATTATCTCCATTTTAGAGAAGAGGAAGTTGAGGCAGAGGTGAAGTGACTTGTCCAAGGTCAGACAGTTGATGTCTCTGACCAGATTTGAAATCAGGTCTTCATGACACTGGGTCCAGAGCTCTGTCCACTGCACCACCAAGCTGGTGTTATCAGTTCAGAGATTTAGAGCTGCAAGTGACCTGAGAGGTCATGAACTTCTACCTTGTCATTTTACAGATGAGGAATCAGGGGCTCATGGAGTCTAAGTTCTTGCACAAAGCCACACTAGTGATGCCCAATGTAGGGTCCAAACTCAGGCTTCCACCCTGGGTGTCACTCTGAACCCCTAACTCCTGCCTCTTTAATCAGCAGTGAAGTCTTTGCATTTCTACCTAACACCTTTGTTATGTGTCCCCTTCTCTCTTCTGACAATGCTATCACCCTGATCACCTCCCTCATCACCTCATGCCCAGGTTATTGCAACAGCCTTCTCACGGGGGCAGCTAGGTGGTGCACTGGACAAGAGCACTGGCCCTAGAGTCAGAAGAACCTGAGTTGAAATCCAGCGTCAGACATATAACACACTGTGTGACCCTGGGCAAGTCACTTAACCCCAATTGCCCTCACCAAAAAAACTAAAAAAAAGCCTTCTGATACATCTCCTGCCATAACCCTGTACCTGATCCAGTCCATCTCCCTCTTCCTCAAACAGTAAAATCTGATGATTATGAAAACAGGAGACATCCTCCAAAGGATTTATATTATAATGTCAAATATTATAATATCAAATGATCATTTCTACTTGGTCCAAACTATCCAAGCCCAGGTCTTACACGAAGTGTGGAGATACTGAAAGTTTTCTAGATCAATCTTATCACATAGATTCAAGACACAAAGGACACGGTCCTTAGTGCTCTCCAGTGTCAGAGAGAGCAAGTCACTATATTGGCGGCTCGACTGTAGGAATAGCCCTGAAACCTGCCTGTGTGCAGGGGCAGGGACCACCACTGCCACGCTCCTCCTCTGCCCAGACACCGCACATGGACTGAGGCAAGTGTTCCGGTGCTGGGCAGGCAGTGGACAAAGAACTCTGGTTAACAGACTGTCCTCTTTAAGTTTTTGTGACAGTACTCTCTCCTAGTTCTCCTGGCTACGTGACTGGTAAATAAATCCATTTGCTGGGATTTTCATCAATGGAACACCTGCTAGTTTGGTCCCCTTCTCCCCCTATATGATTCACTTGATGATTTCATTATGTCCTGTGCATTCAATTGTGATCTGTATCATGTGATTCTCAAAATACTTATCCAGCCATAGCCTCTTTGCTTATCCTCCAGGCTCACATCTCTTATGGCGTAGTTGACATTCAATGTCCCCTAGACACTTTGACCTCAACAATTCTAAAACTGAAATCACAATCTCCCCTTTCTCTAGACTCTCACCTCTTTCTGACTTCTTGATTACTGTCCAGGGGACCTGCAGGGGATCACCCAGATTTAAACCTAAATGTTTCATCCTTGACTCTTTGCTCTTTCCCATCCCCTATATCCCATCTGT